GAGCAGCTGCATTGCGATGAAGTGAAATGCAGGGTTGCTTCAGGAGAGGCCAAAAGAAGGAGTAAAAGCAGGCACTCTCACAGTGACCCTCGGACCAAAGACACTGTAGACATTGCTGTAGGCATCACTGACGGGATGGTGGAAGCAGAGTATAACAATAAAGGCCTCGACCCAATGCAGTAGCCATTTCACAATCGCACCATGACCAAGGCACAGACTACACTTGTTTTATACATGGCTGCACAGTCCATTTGTTAAAGTGAGCTAGAAAAGGTTGAGTACGGAGTGGTCCATCAAAAATGGATGATGATACTGCCCGAGTAAATACATTTTACAAAACACGCTTTCTACTAAAATCAAATATTAAACGGTGGAAATCCATCGCTGTTGACATTAAGTTATATACAGTTGAGTTGAGGAACCTGGAAGGCCTCAAGGTAATACAACAAAATTGAGGCAAAATGTGTGCATACATTTGGCTGCAACCAGCAGAGATGCTCTCTACAATAGCATTATAGGCATCTATCGGTGACTTAATCACCACCCCCCCCCCATCCCCCTGCAGTCGATCAGGGAAATTTTGATCACCATTCTTATATCCTAGTCCATCTTAATGGACTTTAAATCTCCAAATAGGGCATGATGAACAAGTTAATTCGATACATACAGTATGTACATAATGTAATATCAAAAGGCAATTCTGAAGGCGTTTTTCCTTTTCAGTGAGATGAATTGCATTTGGTTGCAATGCAATAAAACAGAGGAAACCCCTTTGGGGATCGTGCAGAGTAGCTCCTTGCAGCGCTCAACAGGCACAGTCTTCACCCAAAATCTCTGGTTAGATGTCTTTCCAGCTATTTTTCTCAAACACCCCCACCACAACCCAGTTTATAGTTCCAGTTCTCCAGAGTCCAATTATGGATTTCTTGCTGTCAGTCTCTTTTGAAACATGCCAGTTGTGGCCAATATAAAACATTTTACACCGTAGAGAATGTTTTCGTGAATAGACCACCAGTAGATCAATGAAGGGATGGCTGGCCACTATAGTTATATATAGTCAGTATATATTGATGCATAATTATATCGTAAATACAGAATCAGCCATTCAACAATTAAAATTTCAAGACAAAAAAAGTTAACTTGTTTCAATTAGATGCTTTGTCATCTGGCATTTCTTTTGTGATTCAAGAAATTATTTTATGTAGCAATTACGGCATCAAACTCTTGAAAATACACCTGCCGTCTCCTAGAATGATGTTACCGTTCTAATTGTTCCAGTTATCTAAGCGACGGTGAAGCAATCAAAAGAGCATGTCTGACTAAATGAGCCATTCAGTGTACATTCAGGTGAGCGTGGACATTGACTTGCGTGGCTTCTTTGAAAGGCTCGACTCAACTTTGTTTACAGAGCACAAAAACAAACACACCTACAAAGAGCTGAGCAGAGTGAATAAAAGCGAACTGACAGCCTTTGATGTCATGTTCTATGGTGCAGATGCAGCAAAATTGAGGTTACGATAACCAATAATACAATAATGGTGACAAGCATATCGTCACTGTCCTGTGAAAGACATTTGTCATTTTAAAACATGTTGAAATTCATGGGATATCTGAAAGACTCCATGAACATTTTTTTTCGAATTTAAATTTAATAAAATACATTCAAGGAATGGATGAAACACCCCATGAACATAAAAATTGGACATACCTGTTTTTTAACAGGACTGCGACGTTATACCACTATATGCAGGATGAGGGATAAATGTCCCCATGGCTCAAGAGATTCTCGATCCCCATGATCATAGTTTTGTGACAGAGCATCTGACGCCGTCCCTCAACATAATGGCCAGCACACTGCAGAGTTGCCTGGAAGAGCTACTCCAACTTTAAAAAGTCACAACTTCATATGACATTTCAGTGGCAATAAAGGTGATTATTATTTCATTTGATTGATTTATTTGTTTTTTTTTACACAGCAAAGCATTTAAGGGTTTCTCATCATTTGTCTCCGGAAAAACAATTAAAAATAGGATTCAAGCAGAATAGAAAAAAAAAGGTCCCAAAACACCTTTAATCATTTAGTCATGAAGGGTTGTGAAGTTATTTTTAGCATCGTACAATAGCATTTATGAAGCGCCATTTTGAAGCAGACTTAACCAATAAGTATAAACTCTAAAACGAACCCCTTTAATTCCTTCAATTTATTTCTTTAAGCTGAAGACATTTGGTATTTCATTGGAAGAAAATATATTCGTTGTGAAATGTACTGTTGAGTCATTAAATTGCCAGCATATGTAGGTAGGGCCAGAGGTTAATCCTGCTATGCAGCATGTTACATAGCGACACTCCCTTGATCACAAAAGATTCATGAGCTGTGTACAACACTGAATCGATGATGTAAAAAAAAAAAAAAAAAAAAAAGGCCTCACGTCAGCATCAGGAAGACGAGTGGCTTCGAATATGCAAGAAATCCGAGGTCTTTAACGAGAAGTCAATCTCAACAGATAACTCACTCCGGTACTTTTTGAGCATGTTAAGTTTTTCATCCCGTGTCTACTTTGATCCTATTCTCAGACAGCTCAATTGATTTTTTTTCCCTCTTCATTAATTTAATGTGTCATTCTAGGCACCTCTTGCTGATGTTAACGTATACTAAAATGCCACATTATGACGTGAATGCCATCCGAATGGAACGGCGACTCAACCACATCTTATTTCCATTTGAGAAGCACAGCAAGTTTGATGATGAGGGTAAGGAAGAGTCTTTAAAATGTAAAACAACCATTCGTAGAAGCAAGCTGGCAGTTAATCCCAATATCAAGCCGTGCGAGTCAGCCGATTTCTTAATTGAATTACTTTCACTTTCTTTTCATTATTACCCTGCTCCAAAGCGAACTGATAATTTGACAGTGCAGGCAATGTCCATAAGACTTTTTCTGAAAGTCTTCTTCATTTGAGGAATATAAATATTGATATTCTGTCCGTCACACAATTACGGTTCAAATGGAAAAAGGCAAATGAGATGATAAAGATGGTACTGTCAGCATTTGACGGCTAATACACAGTGCCTAGCCAGTATATTTGGTGGATCATGACTTTTCTCACTGACATAAATGAGTTTTACATTGACTATATACCTTGATTGACCAGTTCGGCTTTTGATAATGAAATTCCACCACATTATGACGTGAATGCCATCCGAATGGAACGGCGACTCAACCATATCTTGAAGTGATTCTCGGGCTTCATTGTTCAACCGACCATGAAAGGCCTCGGTTAAGAGCCATCTAATCGGGACCATGGACTCAAGACCTTTTTTAACATTGGTCCATTTTGACTGTCCTTTTATAATAATGTGACAATATGTAGACCACTAAATTATTAAGAAAAGCTATATTTGTCCACTGTGCATGTGTCCTTCACTGCACTTCCCCTTCCTCAATCGGTTCTTCGGCATTGACCAATAGGAAGACAGTGCTCTCCGACTTATGAGGAGACGCTGACATGGCACACACAATCACAATGCGGTGTACAGTATTTAAAAAGTCACTTGAACAAAATATTGGAAATTATACGGATCATTTCAACTCATACTACGTTTGCTATAACTAGTAGCTGATAAGCAAACGTGATGTCATCACACAAATGTTACCTCAAGTTCTTTTTGGAGAATAGACAGTTCATACCGCCCTCTCCCTACCATCCAGGGCCTTTTTTTTTTCTTTCTTTTTATTTTTTCGAACATAGAAACAACAAATAAACACATAATGCCTCCCTCCATCAACAGGGTGAGTATATATATACATATGTGATTAACTATCGATTGGCTGGTGACCGGTTCAAGGTGTACCCCGCCTGTCGCCCAAAGTCAACTGGGGTTGGCTCCATGAATCTCGTGAAGACAAACACTTCAGAAAATTCATGGAATGACTTTTCCAAATCTGTAAAATGATCAAGTCAACACTCCAAAATTACCTGATAAGACTGGAAAAAAAAATGGCCAATTGCAACTATCCTTTCCTTCCTCATTGCAACACACTCATGCACAAAACAGCAGCGTCATACACATACAAGGCTATGTCTGACCACACATTACTCACAAACCACAGTCACCATAAGCAAAGGTTTCAAATGTTTGTTTGCGCAAAGCTAAAAAAAAAAAATGGCTTAGTTTAAGTCAAACAGCGGTAGCATTCTAGACTGTAATCAAGATGCTGTAGAACATACTGCTATAATCATAAACTGTGAACAAATGGGAGAACTTGTTTATCAGTGGCAAAAAATATATATAGACATGAATATATGACAAATTGATTCCTGGGTAATCCCCCCCCAAAAAAGGAGATCGCATCATAAGATCCTACTCACGGAAGTCATGCTAGTCTAATTCTAAGGCTGTCAAACTGGTTCTAATTTACCGTGGCAAAAACACAAGCTACTTATTGTACGTGACGTCATTTCTTTTCATTGTCTTTTTTCCCCAACCCACTGGAACCTCCCATGCCGTGATTTTGTAGTCGTTATTTTAGAGGCCTGAGAGTTGTTGTGCTGCCGAAAACCACTGGATATATCTAAATGTGATGAGCTCTTTCATGAAATCAAGCCCAAATAACAATAAAGATGTAACCGAAGCACAAAGGAACTGTCATTCCTTGGCCACATGTTCAGATTTACTCTATGTTGCTTTGAGAGTCAAGTGGGGCTTTCTGAACAGGCAGGCGCAGACGCGCTATAAAACAGCATGGTAAACTGATTAAATTGGACCCCGAGGACACATGCACAAATACTGTATATCGCTATTGCTGAGCAATGTGCCTATTAGTGCCTACAGATGATAATGAGCCAGCCAGGAACTAATGGAAAGTAAATTCACTTAATAGTATAACTTGCAACAGCATGATAATTCAGCAGATGTCTAAACACAACCTCACGCCATTTTGTGTTTTTACACTTCTCATGTACAACTACATGAACACTAGGAGCAAAAATGGCAAACTTACATGTCCGTAGTTGATGAAGCCGTGTTTACTGGCAATTTGTTCCGCTTCCTCCCGACCTCCAGGTATGTGGACAGCCCATGTGTTTGTATAGACGTTTCGACCCGATGCCGGCTGCAGCCCAGAAACCAGCAAGATCAACAGGGAGCATAATATCAACTCCAACAACGTGAGCCTACGGCTGCTCGCAGAGGGAGATGGTGGGCCAGCGGCCATGGGGTCTCCAGAAGCAGCACAGTCGATGAGCATTGCACCTTTCTGCCACACCAGGGCTGCCCGCGATGCTTGCCAGTGCATGGGAGAGACTACGAGAGGGAAGGTCACAGCTTACCTGATGGAAAACACGGTAAGAATAAATACAAGTTGACATACATGCAAGAAGGACAAGTACCACACAATAAAATTAATTGATTATAAAAGTATTAACTATTTGGACAATCAATTGACCCTTCAGAGCCACTACTTCAAATTAAAATTGCCCAATCCTTATTGGTTTCAGCCTCTCAAAAGTGTATATTCCCTATTTTGTGTGTGTCAAGATGAGACATTTGCCAACATCTGCTTTAGTACGGAAAACAATCATGAACAATTTATGGGGGAAGAAAAATTGTCAATCTCATCTGTTGCAAAAATCATTAGATTCAGCCGTAGTCAGAATATCCCATAAAAGTGACATGTAGTTGAACCGGAGGCAGCTTTAGAAATGCATATCAAACTACTGGTAGCACCCCTCCCTTTGCATTAATCAGTAGCGAAGAGGTATCTCTGTGTCAAAATTGACGAGTACTTCACACCCTCTCATGTTGACATTGCTTTGGCCTTGTTTCAACTTTAAAGAGCATAAAATAAACATCAATAATCAGTTAATGAACAGTAATGTGGGGGGAAAAAAAGACCTGCAATAAACTTTAAGGCATTTCATTCAGATTTTTTGATTAATCAATCGAATAATCAATCGAATAACTGATTAAAAAAAACATTGCATAGCTTCAGCCTTACAGTCAAGTGGCCAAATGAATAACAAAGGGTTCATTTCTCCTGTTTTTTTCTTTTTTTACGTGGATTCAGTTGGCTTTAGTGGATGAAATTTTCAATTTTGAAACATCCGTCTGTATGGCCACAAGGCAGAACAATAATGACGACTTTCAGCAGGCAAATGTCAAGTCACGATCAGACCCGGTATTGTTTTGAGACACACCTTTGAAACTCTAATAGGCAAGACTTTGCATCAAGAAAGACACATGAAATACTCGAGTAAACTGATTTCCCTGACAACATGGTGGATTTTGTGGTCTCGTCAAAACAGTCGAAAGCAGCAGTGAAACGAGAAACATCTTTTGGATGGCGGTTGCATTTTTAAAGTCGAGGAGCTGCACTGAACACAGGCTGATTGCCAGGCTTTGAATAGAACTGCTCAAATTCACTCCTTCCTGCTTCAAGTGGCCAAACGTGTTTACCTCGTTCCAGCCTTCTCATTCTGTTCTTCAAAGAATGGCGCTCGTCTCCAGGGGTGGGCCTCGCCCCAAAGGTTAAATGAAATGGCTTTTCTTTATGCCCTCGCAGCACATTCAATGCGCATCACGTTACTTGGCCATTGTCGAGGAGTATTGAAAATTGTCTGGACAACTTGCATCATCATTTCTGGTAATTACCTTCCGAGTACAGTTTGCGCTTAAAGTGTGCTCAAATATGAGAGCCACCAGTGTTGCTAGAATGCAAAAATTCCCTGGTTGAATGGTTCATTCAGCAAAAAATAAATAAATAAAATTCGATGAGCAATGCCTTGGTCAAATTATTTTCCAGTAAATTATCCAAAATGTTAATACTTCCTTTTATTAAAAATAGAGGAGTGAAATAACATTTCAGCTTTCTTAACAAAAAACAAAATCAATCTTCTAAGTCAGTCCAATGACAAAACAAAAACTTGTTTTCGGTAAAGTGACTGTTATTCTGCTAAGGGGAAATTTATTGAGGGTTTTTTTTTTCCATGTTGTCCTTCACCCAGTCCGACATCCATCTGATATCTTTTATTGCCTCACTAGCAGGGTTGATTGAGGAAGTTTAAAAACATCTTGCCCACATACATTGTTGATCTGATACCATTGTTCAGTTCATGCTCAGTGTACACAAAGCTATCCCGGAGCATTTGACTTGTCTATCATCAAAAGTCACCCTGCATATTTTGAAAATAACACTAGTAGCAAATGATCTATGGACGTGTTGAAAACAGTCTTATACTGGTAAGAACATTATGTATTACTGATAAATACATTTTGAATTTCACAAAGACACAACCAACAATTGGGGAACCATTTTTGAAATAAAATACAGAAGGCAAGAATAAGGTTTAGTGGCCAAAATGTCACACTTTTTTTTAGAGGACACCTGGTTTCCGTTTTGTTTTTGTGTTTGTTTGTTTGTTTGTTTGTTTCGAAAACCATACAAAGTCATACATTTAAATTCCTCGACCAATTTCTGCAACTACATCTCAGCCATATGCCTCCTATGAAAACCAGAAACCAAAGGAAGAGAAATCAACCACATCTGATTATTATTGTTATTGTTGTTTTAATAGTTTGCTATCTATCACCTGAAGTCTTGCTCAGAATGATGACTTCAACGGTCGCTATTCGTCAAATTTTTGTCAGGACAATAAATCATCAAGTCAAACTAAAATACACACACACACACACACACACACACACACACACACACACACACACACACACACACACACACACACACACACCCCTATACAGCACACACACCTATACGGAGGGAAAAAAAAGCACAAGAGAAATGTACTAAAATAAAACAAACACACATAACACACATAAACACACATTTTCTTATAATATTCAGGGGGGAAAAAGCACAAGTAAAATTTGCAGCTTAACTTACTCGACTTTGTCCTCTATCCTTTGGTCCAGCTGGTAAACATGTTTCCAAATCTCTGTTTGAGGTTAGTATGAGCTGACTTTAAATACAGATGTCTGTGACCTCACCTACAAGCTCAGCCATTCAGTTGCCCAACAGCAAGGATAAAACCCGCGCAGGCGCACACACACACACGCACACACACGAAGCCCTGGCGTGTACAGGAACTAGTTTGCTATTCACCAGATACATGAGGCAAAGGCGCTCAGCGTTCTCATTGCGAGTGGTCTCGTGTTGGAGCACAGTAAATGATACCACATGTCAGACAGTCAACTTGTAGTCGAGCAAATACAGGAAATCATAATGAGTCTGATTAAACTACAAGGAGAATGCTAACCTTTCAAAAATTAGGACATTTCATATTATCGCATTACTTAAATATTTACCTTTCGGAGAAGTAGGAAAAACATAATTCTATGCTGTTTATCTGACATTTACTTACCGAAGACACTGAACTAATATATCAACCCAAGTATATGCCAGCAGAAGTAGTTTTTAACGCCAACAAAAAGCACCACCCGTGAGATATTAAGTCCAGTGTTTTACTGACAGCTCGGGAGAACAAGGCTTTTATTTCGTATTCCTTAAATGATGTTCACGGTCTTTAACATTTTGTCTTATTTCTTAAATAATGTAAACAGTCCTTTTTACTTAATGTTAAAAGGTGCTGAACTGCCACAATTAATATCAGGGCTGAACAATTAATCACATTCAAATCGGCATTCCAATGGAGTAAAATGTGATTTACAAATGGCAAAAGTTGCAATTTGGGAGAACAAAAACAAAAAAAAAAAAAATCTCTGCTTCTTTTCGGTTGATCAGTCAGTAGCTAACTCCAGTGCTTAAGAAGTGCAGTTGGCATGTGTACATACCATTGTTTCATGAAACGTGAAAAGTTGAAGTGGCTGAAGTCATAGATTTGTTTTTCGATTATTAACGTAATATGATTTATGACTTGCGTTTACATCACACTTGAGTTTTGTGAAGTTGTCAGAGTGAACGCTGAAAAGACTGAAGTAGATAAATTGTGTTTCACATAAATTCATGGTTCATTTGCCTTTATTTTGGCATTGCATGTACTTGTTAAATCCTACATGTGAAGAGGGTCTTTAAACAAACATTGCAATATTTATTGAAGAGGATTAATGAAAAAAAAAAAAGAATCGCAATTCGATTCTTTTACTAAATCGTTCAGTCCTAATTTACACACCAGATGACGTTTCTATTTTATTATGTAATTTGGCTATTCTCTGGCTATGTGTACACTTACATAGCGGACTGAGGCATACTTGCAGTTCAGCACCAGCGGATTTGCATATTCACAGATTTATTTTTTTCCTCCAATTTCTTTTCAATATTTTTTTATTCTCTGGGGTTGTATCAGCCCTATCCCACCATCATTTTTCATGGAAAAAGCAAAATGAATGTTTATCATCTTTTTTTTGGGGGGCGGGGGGGGGGGTTGTGTACACTTACATAGCGGACTGAGGCATACTTGCAGTTCAGCACCAGCGGATTTGCATATTCACAGATTTATTTTTTTCCTCCAATTTCTTTTCAATATTTTTTTATTCTCTGGGGTTGTATCAGCCCTATCCCACCATCATTTTTCATGGAAAAAGCAAAATGAATGTTTATCATCTTTTTTTTGGGGGGCGGGGGGGGGGGGGTAAAAAAATACGTGAA